CGTGGGATATCCAGGGAGATGCAGTGAGTGTGCGTGTGAACAAGTTGTGAGGACACAGTGTCATGGGGGATGAAGAGAAAGCGCCCAGGCGCCATAGTTAACTGAAGCAAGTTGTATTTGAACTGCGTTCTCGCCTGTAATATCTCTGAGCTTTGTGTGGGCGCCTGGCGCCAGAGTGATTTGCCATCTGTTTACATGCATGCGAAGTAAGAAGGAAGTGAGTCTGATTGCAAGTCTGAATTTCTGAAATGTTGTCAAAGTAAAGCATGTGTGCACTTTCTGAGTTGTGGGCCAACTGTGAATAGAAGTAGGAATAGACTGTGGAATTGTGTGAATAACTGCGATCACCACAGTGCTTTGTATTTCCTGACATTTGCAGTTTTTTTTTTTTTTTGTGTTTTGTTTTGTTTTGTTCGCTGATCTCGTCAACTCACATTTTCACTTTCTTTTTTCTTCTGTGAGAAGAAAAATCATCTGGCTGCTGCCCCTCCTGAAAACGTCTGAAAGATGACGATTTCAGGGCGCATGATTATCGTAGGGAAGGGTCCGGAACATTCAATTTCAATTGGTACTTGGAACACGAGGAAAGCCAAAGTGCATTCATCTTCTGTCACTGACTTCATAGCACTCTTCTCGAATTGACCCGGTAACTCTTTCTCTCAAATTTGAAATTTGTCTGTAATGTAATGTATCTGTGGGTGTGCGAAAGCCTAAAACTGGTGTTTGTATTTTCTGGAAAATTCAAAATTGCCTCTTTGCAGAATGACCTTGTGCATGGATGGGGGCTGGACATGGTCTTGGGAAAGTGTGTGCAGGTGAGCATATACGTCTGTTTCTTTCTTACTTACCACAGAGATGGGCTTTTGCAACCCCTCTCTCTCTCTCTCTCTCTCTCTCTGTGTGTGTGTGTGTGTGTGTGTGTGTGTGTGTGTGTGGGTGATGAGTTTCTGAGGATTTCATAATTGCCTCGGTTCCTCTTCTGTAGGGTTTGCCGATGAGAGTAATGAAAATACGGCGGTGGTTTCTTTACATTTATTTATACTCGATTACTCGTAGTATTGAAGTAGTTTAATACAACGTTTAGTAGGTTACTTGATAGAACATTTGAGGTAGGAGCAAAGAGGCTGATGAGTATCCTTAAAAGAAAAAGAAATGGCGATGGCCTTGAGGTATCATCATCGAACTGACTGGCCCCACCCAGGCAATGCAGAAATATTTTACTTCATTCATCGAGTTGCAGCTGGATTCGAACTCAGCTTTATATTTCAACAGGGTATGGGTGTACCGATGTTGATACACTTGTAATGACCTGACCAAACACGGACTGAGACACACAGCTGATTTCTGAGTTTTGCTCATGGACTGAATGCCTTGCTGAGTTTCCCGCTTGTTACCGAGTTCTCTAAGTCTGTGTGTGTGCACGCTTGCTGGTCTGCATGTCTGTCAGGGTGCTTGACGGCTTGCGTGTGTGTGAGACCCGCAAGGGCACTTGTTCGTTCAGTGGGCCCGAAGGGCCGGTACTTTCCTGTGGCCGTGACATTGAGGATTGCAGCGGGGGAAAACACTCAGGTGGCGGGCAAAGAGGCCCGCGATACTTGGAGCAGCGGAAAACACTCAAGTAGCGGGTAGGCCGGTACCACACCAAGTAGAGGCAGATATGCTGGGGACTCGAGGCCAAGCAGAAGAAGACAAAAGTTGGCATTTTAAGAGGCCCAGTAGTTGTAGGCTAGGTCTAGGCGGGTACCAGTCCAATCAGTCTGAGTCTAGGGCCTGTACGGGCAATATCAGAGTCTGCAATGATGTTTCCCTCCGAAAGGGAGGAG